AATTAAATGTCAGAGCAACCTACTTTTAACATGTGAAACACCTTCTACCCAAGATGTATCAGCTGACAAAGTTTTATAATTCTAGGCACAAAAGTATTAGAGCTCGTTATGTGCCGGACACGAAAAAAGCTAAGAGACAGACAGACTGATGGACACGAATGCATAACATACATGTCATATGTCCTGTCTTAAGACAGGCATATAAAAACAACAACTAATTTTTTTCTCAGGATAATCAAGGCAAAACCTACCAATGAACCTGTGACTTAATTTCACCACGATAACAGCTGTCTTTTTTTCAGGAGACTTAATTTTCATGATTTTCACATCCAGGCAATTATGCTTATCAAAATAACTTTTTTTTCATTTTTATACCCAGATTAAGAATTAAATTAGACTATGATTATAAACAATTAAGGTACCTAAGAAAATGCGATTTACAGATGTACATCAGTCAATTTCATCATTATTGTGTTAGGAACATCTGGAAAATTATAAGAACTGAAACAAGATTAAAGTATTCTTCGATAGGTTTGACCTAGGTAAATGTAATTAGATACATTGGAAAAAGACCCAAGGTGAAATTTGTCCAAGTTTGAAGCGTCAATCATTTTTGTCATACACCAAGTAGTAAAAAAAATATATTGTGATCATGCAAAAAAAAAAGGTTAAATAAAAATAAATCTGATAATTTCTCGTGCAAGATAAAATAATAATGGAAAGATTCTTGCATCCAAATATAATGATTATACAAATATACCGGTATATATATATGTATTGTTTAATGAATTACTGCTCACATATAAGTGTGTACATTAATGGCTCTTGCATATTTATATGTACCTGTACATGCAAACATTTCCCAGTTAAATGGGTTATACCATATCGAAAAGTTTTAAGGGGGGGGGGATTTGAACTACCTGAGGATGCTTCCATATCAATATAACAAATGGCTTTGCTGTTCTTGAGCAGAAGATTTTTAAAGATTTTTTTCCTATATAATCCCTTGTTGTGGACCCTCCCTACCCCCCCCCCCCCCCCCATTTGAACAAACTTGAATCTACACTACCTGAGGATGCTTCCATATCAATATGACTAAACATGGCTTTTCCGTTGTTGAAAAGATTTTTTCCTATATATTGCCATGTAAAAATTTGATCCCACATTGGGGTCCACCCTACCCCTGGGGGTTATGATTTGAACAAGCTTGAATCTACACTACCTGAAGATGCTTCCATATCAATATGACAAAACATGGCTTTGCTGTTCTTGAGAAGAAGATTTTTAAAGTTTTTTCCTATATATTCCTATGTAAAACTTTTATCCCCCATTGTGGCCCCACCCTACCCCTGGGGGTCATGATTTGTACAAAGTTTAATCTACACTACCTGAGGATGATTCCTTATCAATATGACTAATTGTGGCTTTGTTGTTCTTGAGAAAAAGATTTTAAAAAATTTTTTTTTTTATAAATTTCTATAAATTCCTATGTAAAATTCAAACTTGAATCTACACTACCTGAAGGTGATTCCATATCAATATGACTAATTGTGGCTTTTTTCGTTTTTGAGAAAAACAATTTTAAGATTTTTCCTATATATGTCTATGTAAAACTTTGATTCCCCATTGGCCCCATCCTACCCCCGGGGTCATGATTTGAACAAACTTGAATCTGCACTACCTGAGGATGATTCCATATCAATATTACTAATCGTGGCTTAGTTGTTCTTGAGGAGAAGATTTTTAAAGAATTTTTTCTATATATTCCTATGTAAAACTTTGACTCCCCATTGTGGCCCCACCCTACCCCAGGGGGTCATGCTTTGAACAAACTTGAATCTGCACTACCTGAGGATGATTCCATATCAATATGACTAATCGTGGCTTAATTGTTCTTGAGGAGAAGATTTTTAAAAATTTATTCCTATATATTCCTATGTAAAACTTTGATCCCCCATTGTGTAGGCCTTTCAACTGCCGCTAGGGTTCGATGAAAAGAACGATAACCCATTACCGGAACTTGTTTAGAGCGGGTCCGAGGAAGCTAATTGTTTTTAAGGATGTCAAGTTTTAGCATTTCTCAAGTATTCCTCCACTGTCAGGGAAATCCAGTGGTTTTAAAATTTAGCTCAAATGTTCAACTTAATTATCATGTAGTTATCGACACTGTACAATAATATATAAGTGAAATTTTTAATAAAAATATAAAGTGAAATCCATCCTCCTTCTTAATTTTGACCTGATTAAATTTTTATACTTGATTGTTCTTCTTCGTGCTTAGCGAAAAGAATAAGATAATTTATTGTTGCTTTTAATTGTAGAAATATTTATCTTAAAAGATGAAGCACAACAATGCACAAACAAAAAACATGGAATTAAATTTTCCTCTACATAGCAAATGTTAGGGAGAGTTAAAAATCTTGAATATAGTCCTTCCCCATTCATTGATACTGTTATTCCAGGTATAGAGTGAAGGCATTCTCCTTGTTTTGGTCAACCCTTTTGTGTACCAAAGAATACAAGGAACCCTTTTGTGTACATAACAATACCAATTGAAGCAGCCTATATGTCATTCTTATAAACCATAACTCAAAAATCGGCACTTTGTTGGTCATATTTTACATTTGAGTTAACTGTCTTTAAAACACCACATCGTACAAATCAAATATTGATAATTAATTTTTTTAAGATTTAATTAAAGGTATGTATAGGTTATAATCTTTTTCTGAGAATTTCACGTACCTACAAATATATCTATCAATTGTTTTTTAACCATATGTATAACTTGAAAAATTAGTTGAAAGGCCTACATTGTGGCCGCACCCTACCCCAGGGGGTCATGATTTGAACAAACTTGAATCTACACTATGTAATGAAGGTCTCACATAAGTTTCAACTTTTACAGCCCAGTGGTTCTTGAGAAGAAGATTTTTTAAAGATACCACCAAATTTTCACAAATTCTTAATTATCTCCCCTTGAAAGAGGGTGTGGCCATTCATTTGAACAAACTTGAATCCCCTTTACCCAAGGATGCTTTGTGGCAAGTTTGGTTGAAATTGGCCAAGTGGTTCTGGAGAAGAAGATAAAAATGTGAAAAGTTTACAATGACAATGCCAACAATGACAGACAAAGGACACATTTAGAAAAGCTCACTTGAGCCTTCGGCTCAGGTGAGCTAAAAAGGTTTACAGACAGACGGACAGACAGACAGAAGGATGCTGGACAAATAGTGATCAGAATAGCTCACTTGAGCTTTCAGCTCAGGTGAGCTAAAAAGTGACACTCTAATAAACACTGACATTTAAATATATCATTTCTTCTGATGTGCAGCATTTCAGTTTTCTTCCTATTCCAATTATGCAAGTACATATTTTGAGAAAGAAAATCCATTCAAATGACAAAAAAAACCACATGCTGTAAATTCAGCCACAGAAAAAAAGCAAAGATAATCCTTTCCATCTACATAGACCTCTAACACATCGTAAGAAAAATCTGCACAAAATGAGCAAGCCTGGGCAAATTCAAAATGGAAAGCAAAAGCTATAAATCCACAGGGAAATTCTTCTGCCATGATGTATTCACTCCTCTACAAAACAATATGGCTGACCAACCACTTCCTGTCATATAATAAAGTTGGGTCTATCTATATATACAATTTTTTGGGGGATGACAATGAATAGTCAACTATTCGACTTTCAGTCAAACGGACCAACGTTCGAATAATGATTCAATAGTCGTAAAAAAAAAAAAACTATTATGAAAAAGGGATAATTCTTGTGTCTTTTTTAAACTTAAAATGCCAACACACTCCATTTATGCTGCAATGCATGTTTTTGTTTAGGATTTCAATCATTTCATTTGATTAAAGGTGCATAGACACAGATTTGAAGTTTATATTTTCTCAAATTTTCTGTATAATATCACAACTTATATATTGCTATAGCATTTCACACCAAAATATAATTAAAAACTTATTTAATCTGGAAATTATTGAAACTATGAATTTCGGGAGGCATTTGATTAACACATCCTTGCACTTTCACAATTTTTAACTTTATTCTTAATACTTAAGTAGCAATTTTGCTGTGTATTAATGAATAATATTACACCTATAATCCAGAAAATTCAGAGTAAAAATGTGCGAAAGCAAAACCCACTTATTTAAGTATTGTCAGCCCGTGCTCAGTGTTGCGTAGTTGTGTACAGAGTTTAACAAATTGAATACACCCGTGAAACGTAAACTTTGTAAACAGGGCACGAGCTCTGTTGTTGTTAATGTTTACGTTTCACCGGGTGTGTTCGATTGTTAAACTCTGCACACACCACTGAGCACGGACTGACAATACTGGTGATAGGATTTTGCTTTCTACATTCCTACTCTAAAATTTCTGCATTTTAGTTTTAATATTTTTCATTAATAAACAACAAAATTGCTACTTTTCTAAAGTAATAAGGATAAAGTTAAAATTTGTGAAAGTGCAAGGATGTGTCTATCAAACGCATCCAGAAATTCGGAGTTTTAATAACTTCCAGACAAAATAAGATTTTTATCAAATTTTCGTATGAAATGCTATAGCAACATATAAGTCATTAAATTATACAGAAAATTTGAGTAAATATTAACTTCAAATCTGTGTCCAAGCACCTTTAAATCTTAACTGGGCCTTTAATCTCCTTCATATATAAACATGCATATGGTGAACATCGTGTGTTGTTTTAGTGATTTAGTGTTTTGTTAAGCCAAAGCTTCTTATTTAATCTTGCACCGAGTAGACATGGTGAAACTTTGATACTTAATTGGTAAAAAAAAAAAAAAAACACTCTACAAAGGAAAAACAATGCGGTATAAAATTTGCATCATCCTAAACTATGTCTAAAATATTCAAAATGTTCCAAGTGATCTACTTTGTTAATCAGTAACAGTTGGAATATTACAAACACAATTTTAATCAGTTTACTACCAATTTTTTTTACTACAACTTGTTATGCACACACATACCTTTCCTCTTTCTTCTTGTTTCCATCATTACTGTTCAGTTTCTACAAAATAAACAAGAATTACCATATAAATCACTGCTCATAACACAACTAGATGTGTTGTAACTTCACAAATGCCCCTAAAGCGGTCGAAATTTCAAATGCCAGATTTAGTTTTACATTTGTTTGCACAGAAAATATTTCTTTTTTTGGTAAGTTCAAGGGGCATAACTCTGTAAAAAAAATCATCAGACCTTGACCAAATTTGAACTTGACCTGTATTTTTTGTTAAAATATTGGTAAATGCAATTTAAACTTTATATATACATCCCTTTTTAACTTAAAAGAGCAAAAACTGAAAATTTCTTACTTTTCCCTATTGAAGAAGTACAATTGGACCTTGACCAAATTCAAACTTGACTTGTGTATTTCTATGATGTATCCATATATCAAATTTGAGTTGAATGTGTGCAACTATTGCCAAGTTGTAATGAAAAGAGAGTTAACGATAACAGAATGATGCAAGGACAGAATAACGGAAGGACGTATGGACAGATGTAAGGGCAAACAAATTCCCACTTTCAGTGAAAACTGGGAACAAAAATGCAGACTAATTATGACATGCACCTTTTTTTTCTCCTCAAAAAATATAATTTATTAATTCATAAGAACAACTTAATCAAATTGCATTCACTGCATCTCTGCTTTGTCATCACAGTTTCAGTATTAACCTAAGATGTGGTGCAACTCAACAATAATCAAAAAAATTTATTTACAAATATTATTTTCTTCTTGGGGTAGAAAATAATGGGGCAAGCGAATACAAGAAATATTAAATTTATTATTCGAATCAAGTGCCATTTCAAAGAGAGAGTCTTTAAAAATCATATTAGATAACATTTGTATGCAATATCAGCTTGTTTTTAGTTTTGTTGATATATTGGTTACAATAGATCAGGTTTGAAGACTTCTTTTGTAATTTTCTAGCAACATTACTTTAATTGATCAGGTCTTTTTGAGTAATTTCTTTAAAAATCCCCTCTTTCTGTGAATGGGACCTGTACTACCTTCAAAGGGCCAAACAATTGAATAATTCTCACAACACTTGATATAGTCAGCCAACTGATTGTCCTCTATGATGTTTTCTAAAATTGTTATATCCACAAAATTTATTTGGAATAGGGCTGCCACTCTTTCTGGTTCTCTGACCCTCAGCCTCAAAGTATTTCTTCATCATAAAAATGCTATTTCTCGTTCAAACTTTATAAATGAAATGAAATTTTTTTAAAAAAATTATTGATGGTATCCATGCATTTCATAAAGGTATTGCAAATTTGCCCACAATGGATATAATGGAATAAATATAAAGTTTAGATCAAATTTTTAAAAAAGGCTGTACGGTGCATCGGTGGCTCTAACCCCTTTACCTATGTGTAGTTGATCTCCAGGGAACCACTAAGCCAAGCATTTCGTGAATAACTGATCGTAATATTAACTTACACAAGAAGACTAATTTAATTTTTCCATATAAAAGGCAGATTTTTGGTACGAATAAAAAAATCCTGATAATCTGAGGATCAGAGGTCATTATAAATAAAACATGTGAATTGTCAACATACAATTGTACCATAGTACATTATTTCCATAAACAGGTAAAAACTTTTGTGCTAGTTTCTATGTACTGTGAAGTCTTACCATTGCCTACTCTATCATATTATTTTAAAAAATATGTGGTTTTTAGACTTCATCTCGTTTGCCAGTAGGCTATTTTCTTTGTATCATAGAGAATAAGCTTTGAAAGCATTCACAACTACATTTTGTTGATGTGTTAAATTGCAATTTACTATAGACTAGTGTAGTTTCATTCCTACCATCTGTTTAAATTTTTGCATACTGCAAGGGACATGCCCTGTATAAAAAAATCTCAGCTGCATCGTTTTAAGCAGTTTTCTTTAATTTTTATCCAACAAACATCATCGATATACACCAAACCAGTCGTGAATTTTTTGTGCATCGTGTACAGTCTATGTTCTCTAAACATTTGCATTGAAAAGCACTTCAAACGTCTCCTCCAATTGCAGTATAAGAATAAAATCACATCCATTGTTTTTAACTATTGTTCTTTAACAACAGGCATCATAAAAAATAACTGTACACTCGGTTACATATTTTTTCAAGCCTGAATGTCTGTCATATTCTACCATGTCTATAAATGTCTTCATTGCGTTTGGTATAAAAAGTCGAAAAAATAATTTATACTCAGATATTTAGGAAAGTGTGGGCAGATATATCTTTTTGATAATATTAAATTTTAATTTGTTCAAAAATAGAAGCACCAAATCTGACAAACTATTACAAATTGGTACGACCTAAGTGGGAAAAAAGTGAACATATCAGAGAAAAGTTGCATTTAAGCTCTGGTGGTACATGTACTACAAATCTGCCCCACAACCTTAAACAAAATCACATCTGTAAAGGTCTACAAGTTGAAGTAAAAACCATGGTGTTTTGGGGAAAAAAGTACTGGGCAAAAATTAACTATGATGTCATATATTTATTTGTACATTAAACTGATGGAATGGCTGATTTTTGTAACTCATGATACCTTGATTTCTTTGAGGTGTAGATGTAACCTTCTTCATTTGATACACAAAAAAAGCATGCATAGAAAGATTACATTCCAGACTTTTGATACTCAACTGTCATAATCTTGCATCCATATAAATATATCAATATGAACTACTACAAATTATAAATAAAAAGTCAAATATCAGTAATCATGATCTATAATTACCTTTTCATCATTGCAAGTCTCTAGTCCAAAATAGAAATAATCTTGTCCACTTAACACCAAGGTAAAAGATTACTATGCAAATAAAAAGCAAGAAAACAGAAGAAATGATCATCGTAACAAGAATAGCCACAAGGAGATCTGTTTCCTCCATTTTCTTTTGTAACTCTGTCTAAAGTCTTACTTCCTGTCACATGTCCACTGTAAGAAGTACCCAATAATAATGCATATTCCTAAAGACCAAACATTACTTTATTCAGTTACATAATGTATATTCTTAAAGACCCAACATTACTTCATTCAGTTATATAATGACTTGTATATTCCTAAAGACCAAACATTACTTTATTCAGTTGTATAATGTATATTCTTAAAGACCCAACATTACTTTACTCAGTTTATTGTCTACAGATATACACTTGGAGACCAAACCAAAACCTCTGTATATCATTAGGGTAAGTCGGGGTAATTTTGACCACCGTTTAATTTCGACCACAGAAACACACCACCACACAATGATTTACGGAAGTGATGAAACAAGTTTCATTAATTTGGAATAAAAGAAATCTATTCCACAAATTCGTTTTCCTAGTATAATTATTCATCGCAAATATGGTTTGATCAGAGATTTAAAAATCATTTTTACTATTATTTATGTCTCCAGTTTGATGTTCGAAGTCCGTCTGATCAATGCGCTTGAGTTGATCGAGGAAATGCTAGAGAGACAACTCATACAACCATACAAGTGTAACCTTGTTCAACATTTAACAGTATGAATTTAATTGAAATTGTTTTATTTTTTCTTGGGATATCTTAAGTTGCAAAGTTTTACAAGATTATCTTGGATTTCTCTCAAAAAGGACAAGAAACTCCTGTTTGAGTTTGGTCGAAATTACCCCCACTGTTTTTAGGGATGCGGGGTAAATTCGACCACTCATTCTGCAATATGTGTCGGTTATCTTTAATAATTGCATCAGATCTTCAAAATGAAATTTAATATACTGTATATGAACAATATAATCTACATAAAACTTTCATTTTTTTAAAAAATAAACTAGGATTAATTAATATATGCATGCCTAGCTATATATCGAGCGCTATATTGTCTAGGTCGTGAGGGTACATCACTGATCAAGATGCGAGAGAACTGCTATGAAAAAAAAAAAAACATGTAAGAGCAATCCAAATATTCCAAAACTGTCAAATTAATAAAAGAGAAGAGAGGATGCAGGCAATATTAAATATATTTAAAAAATCAAATTTTTGTATTTTTTTTTAATTATTACGAATGCGTTTGACGGACAAGACTTTGAGGCTTTCGAAAACCAGGAACTAGCAATATTCAGATTGTATATCACAAGGTACAAGTATGAACAAATCCAAATAGTTTGCAAACTATCAGAACAACACACCAAAAGAGCTGTAATCTTGACTCTTAAAACAAAAACCTATGATGGTACGAAATAATTGATTTGTTTGTTTGTTATTATATTTTTTTTTGGGGGGGGGTGGCATCGTCGGAACCCACAGGTTTTCTCTCCATTATACTACATTCAACCGGATTGTATGTAGTGTAACGGAGAGAAAAACTGGGGGGGGGGGGTGGGGGGTCGATCAGAGGACATTGCTTGCGTAAATCTCTTCATTAATGACAGTTGAATTCCTCGGGATCTATCTCTTTTAACAAAACACATTGTTTATTTTTAAAACAATACTGTATGAAATACTATGCATTTCAAATTAATTTGTACAATACTGAAAATGTACATAAAAAAAAAATTGCGCAATTCCTATGCCGTGCTCTACTTTGAACCAACCTGTTGTTAAATGACGATATTAAATAAAATACATTTCAGGTTGGACAGTTTAATAATATTAATTATTAAAGATTGTAGAGTCTGAGAAATATGATTTATTTGAATAACTATTGAAAATATAGAGTTGGTGAAAGATGCAGAATTGAGAATAAAGTATAACAATTACATATATAGATGTCTTTGGCAGCATTGAAAAACTTACGTAAACCAAGCCAATTCTTTACTGAATCAACAAGCATGTAATCTTTTTATGAGATTTACACATATTTTCTTAATGAGGAAAAATAGTTTCTTTGACCACAAATTTCAAAGAAAATGCGGCAGATTGAGCTTATTTACATTGCAAGAGTTATCTTTCTTTTTTATGTTTGTTGTGGTCGAAATTACCCCGAGGCTGGTCGAAATTAACCCATGCAACAGGCTTACTAATTTTTAGACC